TGCATCTTATGAGCGGCCAGGTCTCCACATGAGCCTGCACTTCACGAGGTAGGACTCTTGCCAGGTTTGACAAGACAGCATTCGTACTGAAGCAGCGGTGCCGTCCTGTGTATTCACTTCGCAATGGCGTACGTTCATCTCAATCCGGGCCAAGTCTCACATCAAAGGGCCTCGCTGCACTACTCTCGAAATGTGCGAAACGAGAGTGAATCTTCCGCTAGAATATGGAAAGACACACGGCCATGATTTTTGTCTTTTGTGCATTTCAAGAGTAGTGCAGCGACGCCCAAAGACGTGGATGTTTCGTCAACGTGGATTCGAACTTTGACCACGTGGACGAATCATGGATAACGTGGACCAAACCTTAATGACGTGGATCAAATGTTGATGACGTGGAGCGATCTGGGACGCGGATTTCACTATCAATCACGTGGATCGGACATCCATGATGCGGATAAAGCTGAACAGCTGAGGACGTGACTTGGTGGTGTAAGGTTATCAGTAGATCTGATGCTGTTGCGCGTCTCTGCGGATTACTTATCACATTGTCAATTGCACGAGATGTAGAAGGCTAATCCCTCGACGACGAGAAGAGCATCCTACGGTGATTGATGGCAGCCTATTGAAGCCGCAACGTTCGGGACGTGTAAGCGGTGCGTGCGGGATTATCAGTCCTGCCATGCCAGATCGACCTGGACGAACGTCGTGTGATGCCGACTGAAAGCGACAGGCTAAGGTAGCGTCAGTGCCTGCAGCGCTTGCCCCGTGTAATCAGTCTGTGCATGGAGGAACAACCCTGCCACGTCAGATCGACCTTAGCTAGCGAACTTGCTGGGACAATTAACTAACCAATCCATTCAGCAATTCCACAATCAATCCGGCCACGTGGATTAACAGTCCTGCCACGCCACGTGGAATAACATCCCTGACACGTCAAACCGACAGAGCACCGATGTAGAGAGAGAGAGAGAGAGAGAGAGAGAGAGAGAGAGAGAGAGAGAGAGAGAGAGAGAGAGAGAGAGAGAGAGAGAGAGAGAGAGAG